TGATCACCTTCACCATCCACCGTAAAGCTGGCAAGTCAGTCAGCAACACTGAAGTCCTCGACTTCAGGAAAGCTGACTTTGACAAGCTCAGGAGGCTTGTCAGCGAGGTCCTAAGGGACCACGACCCAAAGGGGAGGGGAGTTCAGGAACAGTGACTGCTCCTCAAGGAAGCAATCCTCGATGCACAAGCTAATTCTATTCCATCTCGGAGGAAAGGCAGCAAGAGCGCACAGCAGCCCCCCTGGCTCTCTAGGGATCTAGCAGACCTCCTGAGGCGAAAAAGAAAGGACGGGATTCACCTCCAAGGAGGAATATTCTGCACTGGTCTAGTCCTGCAGGGAGCAAACCAGGAAAGCCAATGTTGCAACTGAACTACAACTAGCTTCGAGCATCAAGGACAATAGAATGTCCTTTTTCAGATGTGGGGAGCCGGAGGAAAAGCAACAGCAACATTGGACCCCTGTTGAACCAGATGGGACAAGTGACGCCCAGGAAAAAGCCAACCTATTAAATGGGTACTTTGCATTGGTCTTTCATCAGTCCCATGGGATGCCCATGCTCACTACAGGACAGGGAGGTCCGGGTGAGGGAGATCCCCTGCCCTCCATCAATGCTGACCTCGTGAAGAAACACCTTGAGAGGCTGGATACCTTCAAGTCAGCTACAGCCCAGGGTGCTCAAGGAGCTGGCGAGCATCATAGCCCAGCCACTGGCACGGATCTTTGAAAACTCCTGGCACTCTGGTGTAGTGCCCAAAGACTGGAAGAAGGCCAATGTCATGCCTATCTTCAGGAAAGGGAGGAAAGTGGATCCAGCAAACTATAGGCCCATCAGTCTGACCTCTATCCCGGAGAAGGTCTTAGAAAAGTTTATTAAAGAGACCATCCTTAATGGACTGGCTGACTCCAACATCCTGAGGGATAGCCAGCATGGGTTTGTTGCAGGTAGGTCTTGCTTGACCAGTCTCATTTTCTTTTAAGACCTGGTGACCTATCACCTGGACAAGGGAGGAGAGATTGATGTCGTATATCTTGACTTCAAAAAAGCCTTCAATCTGGTATCCCATGATCACCTCCTAGCAAAACTGGCCAACTGTGGCCTTGGGTCCACCACGATCTGCTGGCTGGGAAATTGGCTCCGTGGTCGGACCCAGAGGGTGGTAATTGACGGAAGTCAATTGTCATGGGTCCCTGTGACCAGTGGGGTCCTCCAAGGCTCTGTCCTTGGACCCATATTATTCAACCTCTTCATTAATGATGTGGACACTGGTATCAGAAGCAGACTGGCCAGTTTGCCAATGACACCAAACTATGGGGCAAAGCATCCACACCTGAAGACAAGAGGGCAATCCAGGCTGACCTGGACAGGCTCAGCAAATAGGCGGATGAGAACCCCAATGGTGTTTAACGCTGAAAAATGCAAGGTTCTCCACCTTGGGAGGAAAAACCTGCAGCATCCTTATAGGCTCGGCAGTGCTGCACTGGCTAGCACTACGGAAAACAGACTTGGGGGTCATCATTGACCACAAGATAAATATGAGCCTGCAATGTGATGCTGTGGCTAGTAAAGCAACCAAAATGCTGGCTTGCATCCATAGATGCTTCTCAAGCAAATCCCAGGACGTCATTCTCCCCCTGTACTCGGCCTTGGTGAGGCCGGAGTGAGGCCTTGGTGAGGCCGGCTGGAGTACTGCATCCAGTTTTGAGCCCCACAATTCAAAAAGGATGTGAAGAAGCTTGAGAGAGTCCAGAGAAGAGCCATGTGGATGATCAGAGGTCAGGAAAACAGACCTTACAGCAACAGGCTGAGATCTACGAGGCTCTTTAGCCTGGAAAAGCACAGGCTCAGGGGTGATCTGATGGCCACCTATAGGTTTATCAGGGGTGACCACCAGTATCCGGGGGAACATTTGTTCACCAAAGTGCCCCAAGGGATGATGAGGTCGAACAGTTATGAACTACTGCAAGACCGTTTCAGGCTGGACGTAAGGAAGAATTTCTTTACTGTCCGAACCCCCAAGGTCTGGAACAGCCTGCCACCGGAAGTGGTTCAAGCACCTACATTGAACACCTTCAAGAGTAAATTGGATGTTTATCTTGCTGGGATCCTATGACCCCAGCTGACTTCCTGCCTCTGGGGCAGGGGGCTGGACTCTATGATCTTCCGAGGTCCCTTCCAGCCCTAATGTCTATGAAATCTATGAAATTACCTTAGAGGGCCCTTAAAAAGCTAACTTTCAACCCCTAAAAACAATGTACTTAAAGAAGCCTCAGAAAGCGTATTCTACAAACTCACCATACGCTGTTACTCTTTGAATGGAGGCAGAATTACTGCTTTAAGAGCAAAGTGCAGTGTTCACGAAGGTGCTTCAAACTGACACCTATTATGGAAGCACCAGTTTCATAAGCATGGCACAAATCTCAAAATTGTAAAAAAGAGGTAACTAGAAGCAACATCCTTTAGGGCAGGGGTTCTCAAACTGTGGGCTGCAACCACCCCAGGGGGTCACGAGCAACTTAAAAAGGGGGCCACAAACTTCCCAGGTGGCACGCATGGCTGTGTGGAATGGTGGATGGCAGCAGTGGCTGCCGCGTGCGAGCTCACCGTCCCTTGCTGCCATCTAGCACTCAGGGTTGTGGTATCACAAAGTTTGAGAACCTCTGCTTTAGAGCAAAGGTATTTCATGCTGCTATTAACTATAGATGGACCTTTCAGTTATTTTCTGTATTACAGATTTAATCATTTTGAGATTATAAACGGGGAGGCAGTTAAGTGCCTGTTATTTAGATTTGGGAAGTGCTAAAGTACAGTGAGTGCTGGTTCATTAAATGGCTCTTTACTACTACAGCAACAAAGCAAGCCACAGCTATTATGTTGTAATGTTACCACTATTCCTATACATAAGGCAGGGGTTTTCAACCTTTTTTGGTCAGGGTACCCCCAGCAACAGGTTGAGAAGCGGGAGTGGGGGTTCCCTGGCAGCCAGTTGCAGCAGGGAAACCGGAAGTGCCAGTGGCTTCTCCACACTGCTGCCGCATACCCCCTGGGGCCTTCCAAGGTACCCCCAGGGCTATGCGTACCCCCCCCCCCCAGTTGGAAACCCCTGACATAAGGGATGCACAACATCTGCAGGTTGTATCTGAAAAACAAAAGGTTAGTTCTGAATTTATTTCAGAGTAAGATAGGAACCACTGCTTGACACTGTCCTCTAATTTCAGGTACCAAACCAGATTAAGGCTTTTCAGGCTACAGAGAATTCACATAGCATTTCAGTACCAAAGTGTGACAGCTGAGAATGGGGCATTAGTCTTTATTTGTAGAGCTGCTTCCCTTTTAAAAGTGTGGTCATTAATACTGAAAATGAACTGGAAAAAAAAAGAAGTATGCGGAAGTAAAACAGAAGGTTAAGTTAAATTGGCTCTTATGGCACTTGTATATGAGTTAGGATCTCTGGGAATAAGGAATAGCCTAAAAAGTAAATTTGTTGCAAAAACACTAGGAAACAGTATACCAAGTGATAATCCAGGATCTGCTCTGGTTTCTCAGAAGAGACCACCTATATACAAGTCATTAAATCTCAAATTTCAAGAAATATCCTCTAATTTACGTATCAAATAGCAAAGATAAAAGGCCCGACTTATCGGAGATTGCAATTATCAGATTCAAATAAAATCCATGGTCTTCAGCACCTCTAAAAACATGGTTGTAGGTTTCCAAACTTGAGGCCCTCCTTTGAGAAAAAAAAAAAAAAAAAAAAAAAAAAATCTAGCTTCAAACACGTGAACTGCAGAACAACACCTATCTTTGCAGTTCTGATACAGGTTCCAAAAAAGCAGAGGGTAGACTGAAGCCAGTCAAGTGTTTGGCTTAGAAGGAAAAAATTTAACCCCCCCAAGTCTCTCTGATTTTTTTTTTTTTTTTTTTTTGTAAGGCCTAACTCTATTTTGGATATTTGAGACTGGCAATATCAACTACTCAACAAAGTACGAGAAGTATAATATTTACAGGGCTTTGACAATGGGCAGAACCCTGGAAGTTATAACAACTAACATAAATCACTTGATTTAAGGGGACTGTAGTTTACAGCCCAATTCTGCCATATGCATCTCAACAAGTAGCACTTCATTTCAGGAGAACTTCTACCATCAGCAGAATAACCTGTACTACTGGTTAAATTCCTTTCTATCTACTGAAATTCCTTCTGCCATTTGGAGGGGTATGGTATTTTTAATCCCACCCTGGTCCAATATTTAGATTTGTTGTATGCTCATGAACAGCTGTTGCATTCCACAAATGGCACCACTTAAGCTAGGGGTGGGTGAAGTCATTTTTTACATAGAGAATGGCCCCTGAATGCAAGGTGCTGTATGACTAAATTCATCCTCATTCAGAGGATGAGAAGGTTATACTTGTAACAGAGCCCCACTCACCCACACAGTGAAATTGAGATCATTCTGATCCAAGTACTTGATGCTTCCTATGCATCTTGTGGCAATGCTAGAAGTTTCTAACCCATGTTTCAGACTAGCAAGTCCCTGCTCTGAAGAAATGGACACATTTACTGACAGTTATATAGCTGCAATAAGGCATGTGCCACCTGCCAAGCCAGTTTCACCAGTTTAGAACACTGAGCCTGCAGTGTTCAGAACAAGTCACAAGTTAAACTGCCCAGCATTTCAAGCAGAAACAGTAAAACATCATTATTTATTACATTGTCTTTTCTATAAAGATGTATGTAGTTAACATGCTGGCATTTCCTTTGATTTTTTACTGCTGACAAGGTGGAGACTGCATTAACCCATGAACAGAAA